TCAAACTAGCATGCAATCTCTTAAGTTTACTATATATGCATGAATTTATATAGAAACTTCAAGTAATTGTTCGTAGGTTAGTTCACATACCCCTTCTTGGTCAGACTGACCAAGATGATCGTTCGCTATCAAGCACAAGTTTGTAGTCTCCTCTTCAGCTTCAGTCTCAGAGGAGTCAGATGCAGAATCCACTCATAATGCTTTTTGGAACTACTTCTTATTCTTATCCTTTCTTGGGTTTCTCCTTATCCTTTTTCTTGCTTGGGTGAGCCTTAAGTGTAGGACAATCATCTTTAATGTGTCATAGCTTCCTGTATTCAAAACAGATCATATCATTAAAACTCTTAAAATTATTGCTACCCTTACCTTTATTCCACTTATGATGGTTCTTATGCTTCTTCCTTAGAAATCTTTTGAATTGCCTCATTATTAAGGCAACATCATCGCTTTCAAAATGGGAAGAATCAGTGTCCGTGTCATTGGCCTTTAGAACCACATTTTTCTCCTTCTTTTTCTCACCTGCATCAAGTTTTTTTTTATTCACCCCTTGCTCATAAGCAATGAGTGATCCAAGTAAGTTATCAATCGAATAAGTATTCAATTCTTTAGATTCAGTAATTGCAATAATCTTAGCATCAAAGGAAGAAGGAAAGTATCTCAAAATTTTATTAATTTTTTCATAATTCGTGAGTTCTCTTCCTAAGGCATGCAATGAGATGGTAATTTGAGTATATCTAGTATACATGTAAGAAATTAATTTAGTAGGTTCATATGAAAAATTTTATAGTCATGCAATAAAATTTTCAACCGAGATTGCTTAACTTCATTTGTTCCTTCATAAGTAATACACAGTCAATCCCAAATTTCTTTACCGGTAACACAAGTTAAAATAAGCATGTAATCTTCAGATTTTAAAGAACAAAAAAAAAATTAGTTCAAACATTTTACATTAAGTTGCTCTAAATCCATTTCATCAAAAGTTCATTCAGTAAAAGGAAGTTAAGTTTTAATGCCATTATTTTTATATGATGGAGGTGAATAACCTTCTTTAATAAGCAACCACGTATGATAGTCAATTGATTATAAAAATATAGACATGCAAGTTTTTTAAAAATCAAAAGGAATATTATCAAACAAAGGTGATCGGGTAATACAGTACCCTTCCGCAGTATTACGATTACCAAAATTAGCCATGGATCAAAATTTAAAAGTGTTCAAAAACTCGGTTTTTTGAATTCCGCTCTGATACCACTTGAAAGTTCGTCAATGATATTAAGCTCTTATGAACTAGCCCAAGGCTAACCAAGAGGGGGGGTTAATTAGTATTTTAAAAATTTCTCAATTAAAAATACAAACTCAAATAAAACCAAAATTCACCACAAAAAAAATTAAAGTGTGAAAATTAAATGCAGAAAAAGCAGTAATCAATAGCATAGAAATTTATAGTGGTTTGATAGACTTGACCTAAGTCCACTCCCCGGAGCCTCTCCTCTAGGTATTGCAATAAATCCAATGACTCTCCTTTTGCTCCCACAGTAAAGCAGAGAAGCCTGTATAAATCTCGTTTCCACTGACACCCGTGAGGCAAACAATTTGATTCATTTTGCTTCCTCCTAAAGCAGATAGAGAATCTGACTCCTTTTGCTTCCACCTAAAGTAGTTAGAGAACCTTGCTCAATTATTGAAGTAGACCTCTCTCGAACCTCCAAGGAACTAGAGATGACGACTGGAGAAGACGACTCGAATCCTTGCTTGGAGCAATCTTTGTGAAATCCCTCAGAAACTCCCCCTCACAAGATCCTCTCTCTCTTCTCCTTACTCCCCATCTCCTCTTGGCTCTCTTAAGCCAAGACAGTAGCAAAAGATACACTCTTGGGTAAAATAAGAGGTCTTATATAAAAAAGCTTTGGATTAGCTCTTAATTGCAACAAACTGACATTATCGTCCAGAAAGTTCTAAAGATCATCCTATATGATTAGTACAAATTCAGCACAATCAGCCATGACGATTTGGGATGATCAAAGGTTTAATTTATTCATATCATCCAGGATGATAGTAGTATGATTAGTTCAATTCATCGAATATCAATCAGATGATCATCCTGGATGGATATCTGGATGATGAAAAAATAACTTGATCGTCCAGGACAATCTCGTAATCATTTGGGATGATTAGTTCAAAACATGATATATCGTTTAGAACATCACCCTGAATAGATGTATGGATGAAGAAAAATTAGGTCGTCCAGGCCGATCTCACGATCATCTTGGATGATTAGCTCAAAATATCATATATCATCCAGAATATCACTCTGAATGGAACTAGGTCGATTATAGATCGTCTAGTAAGAACTAAGGTTTGTTTAACTAATCGTCCTAGACGTTCCAATGATCTATAATCGTCCATGACAATATGATCGAGCAATCAAACCTTAATTAATTTTATTAATTACTAGAGTAATTTAGGTATAATTGCACTACATCAATCAGGACAATGTCCTAGACGATGTCCAAAAATAAAACACGCCTAAACAGATCTGGTGGCTGATTCTTTTTTATTTGAGCCTATCGTCCAGGACGATGATAACATCGTCTGAGACGATGTGCTTAATAACAGATGCCTTAACTAGAATGCCCTAATTAGGGTTTCTATTTTTAACTGATTGTCCAGGATGATTTTTGAATCGTCCCAGACGATGTGATCAATAATAGAAATCTCTAAAACAGTTAGAATTTTTCTCTCGAGTGTGTGTGTGTAAGGTTACTTTGCATCAAGATCCACATCATTTACAATTGACTCAAGAAAGGGTAAAAGATACTTGACATATATTACAAACTGACTTAGTCCTAATCTACCCAATCTTGAGGTGGTTCAATTTATAATTTGATCTTGTAGACCTGAAATATTAGTAGACAAGACAGTCGTAGAAAAATAGAAATACTTATTTTCATCAAAATTCGATTTCTTGAAATCATATTCGCAACAAAAATATAATAAGATATTTGATTAAGATAAATATTAAGTAATACTACCAATAAAAAATATGATTAATTTCTTATTTTATTTTTGGAGTCTGTAAGTTTCAACATTCAAAAATAAGGGGGCGACTGATATATCATCAAAAAATTTATCTTGATCGGGCACGAATCTTGAGACAAAATCAAGTTGTAAACTTCCAAAATTAAGATAATCCGAACTCCGATTTCAACTAACTTAAAGTCAAACTGAACATCTCAAAAATATGAAACAAATGACACCAAATTCGACTCAATCCGACCCCAAATGGGACCAAATCGAAAACCCGAAGCACATTTCAGAATTGTCAACCATAATTTGGATTACCAAACGGTTTCCAAACTTAACATGCTTATAGACAAATTGAGGGGCTCGACGAGACGAATCCAATAAGCTTAAGATTATTGAATTTTGATATAATTAAGACATTTAAAAGCCTAGTAAATGATTCACAATCAAAGGGATCAATATCGCCCATCCATTCAAGCTAGTCTCACCTTGCCCTTGATCTCCTAAATATTTATTGGTCATGTCACAATCAGAAAACTATAAATAGACCATTCATTCTTCATTGAGAGAGAGAGCCCAAACAAAGAAGTAAGGAAGAGAAATCTGAGATCTCTCTTGCCACCAAGCTCCTTCTCGACCATAAAGGTTTGATGTAGGACTTCCGTCCGACCACTGACTAAAGCCGAGCTTCTGCCCATCCACCAACCGATGCTGAACTTACACCCATCTACTAACCGACGTCAAACTTTTGCCCGACCACTAATTAATATCGGACTTCCACCATGCTTCCAATTATTTTTTGATTTCCACCCGACAACAATTTTTCATATATTCGTCGCCCGCCAACTTAGAACTTTCCGACCTTCATCACTAAACTATGGTTCATTTGAAATATGTCATTATATTATGGCCCTTCCGATCTCCATTAACAGACAACGATCTTTCTAACAACTTTCACCAGTCGACTACAGTCTTTTTAACTTATGTCGCCAGATTACAGTCCTTCTGACCTTCGTCGCCATACAACGATCTTTTTTACCACTATCGCTCACCGACAATGGTCCTTCCAACCTCCTTCACCAAACTAAGTCTTTTCGACCTCCATCGTTAGACAACGGTCTTTCTTACCACTATCACCTGTCGACTACAGTTCTTTCAACCCCTGTCATTAGAATATGGTCATTCCAACCTTCGTCGTTAGACAACTGTCTTTCCGACACAGTTCTAACCTCCGTCAACTTCCAACTAGGAACCTTTTGACCTCCATCACCAGACAACGATCCTTCCGACCTTTTCTCAAAACTACAGTGTTTGCGTCCTCCATCGCCCTTCCACTACGGTCCTTCTGACATTTGTTGCCTGATAGTGGTCCTTCCGACCTCTGTCGCCAGTCAACTAAAGTCCTTTCAACCACCGTCACCTAAATACGATCTTTCTGACATCTACCACCTGCCGACTATAGTCCTTTCGACCAAACGAACATATCAATACTGATTCTTCTAATTTTCATAATGTAATGCATCCTATATTATATATATTTTTTACATCAAGTCAAAGTCTTCCCTCCAATGAAGAGCCTCATTTGTAATCAACTGTAAATACTAGTTTATTCATTCAAATTGTACTAGGCCCCGTGGATTTTCCCCTTTTCAAGGGTTTCCACAAAAAAAAAAAACATTGGTATCTCTTATGAACACTAAACCATCTCTTTTATCTGATTGTGTGTTGGATCTTCGTATAAAACTAAAACCTAAAATTTTATATTTCTCAACCGCCACGAATATTCCAGACACAATATTATATATATCATAATATGTGTTCCTATTTGTTTAATTTAATTTAGATCTACCTTCAATATATTTTCATCATTTATTTTAATTCTAAAATATTATGCCATAGATAAATAAAAACCATAATACAAAAGTACACAAAATAGCATAAATGATTTCAGCTATAAGCGTAATCAATTTATTTATTTATTTATATATTCATTTAGTTGAACGAATTTATTACATGTTGGGATTTCATGTAGACAATTGCTACTCTTAAATGAGACTGGACTCTGGAGCATGTCTAAGGTATTCGGAACTTTTAATTAATTGGTGATTAGGTTTCGTTCTCTTCTCGTTATATTAATTAGCGGCTTTCTCAAATCTCCGTTCAACTCAGCAATCTGTCATGACGACGGGACGACTCTGCTTCATCCTGCCCATCGACGCCGACGATATCGCCAACAAGACCAAAACCCCTCCTTCAAAATACCCAGGTGGAACTAACCTTAGTCTCTCCGACCTTGCCCTCCGTTCCCTCGACTGTTTCTGCAGCCGCCGATGTCCCAACCTCAGCTGCTTCCAACCCAAGCCTGACCACTACTCTGAATTCCATGACGCCGACGGCGTGACCTACGATGTGCTATCTTCCAAGAAAAACGGCGGCCCCAGGATATTCAGCTATGCCGAGCTCTACATCGGCACCAAGGGCTTCAGCGATAAGGAAGTCCTCGGAAGCGGCGGCTTTGGCCGTGTTTACAGAGCCATCCTCCCTAGCGACGGCTCCATCGTCGCCGTGAAATGCGTCGCCGGAGGCAGAAATCACCAGTTCGAAAAGTCCTTTGCCGCGGAGCTTGTAGCGGTAGCGCAGCTCCGCCATCGGAACCTCGTCCGCCTTCGCGGCTGGTGCTCTCACGACCACCAACTTCTCCTCGTCTACGACTACATGCCGAATCGCAGTCTCGACCGCCTCCTTTTCGTTCCTTCTCCGACGACGCTAGGATGGGATCGTCGGCGGCAGATCGTGGCCGGGCTTGCTACGGCTCTCTTCTACTTGCACGAGCAACTCGACACGCAGATAATCCACCGGGATGTAAAGGCTAGTAATGTCATGCTTGACTCCGGCTACAACGCGAGGCTGGGAGACTTCGGTCTCGCCCGCTGGATAGAACACGGCGAGGCTGATCATCCGATTAAACAGCAGACGGCGTCGATTCGCTCGGGGTCCTCTAGCAATTATGAGTTCCGAATCACTGATACCAGCCGAATTGGAGGAACAATCGGGTACCTTCCACCGGAAAGCTTCCAGCGTCGTGGCGGTGCCACGGCGAAGTCCGATGTCTTCAGCTTCGGCGTCGTGGTGCTCGAGGTAGCCACAGGTCGGCGTGCCGTCGATCTTGCGTATTCTGACGACAAGATATCCATGCTTGATTGGGTGCGGCGGCTCGCTGACGATGGGGAATTGCTTAGCGCTGGTGACAAGCAGCTTCCAGACGGAAGCTACCCGCTGCCAGAAATTGGGCGGCTTCTCCACCTCGGCCTCCTTTGCTCTCTTCATGATCCCCAGTCCCGACCCACCATGAAATGGGTCATGGAGATCCTCGTCAGCGACACCGTCGGCGACCTCCCGGCGCTCCCATCCTTCCACTCGCAACCCCTATATATATCTCTCTCGTCCTCCTCCGCGACAACAACCACTGGCACTGTCTTCTCATCAAACTACCTCACTGCAATGGGCTCCACTGTTTTCCTTACTGCCAACGACGAAAATAACAACAGCCAGCGAAAGGCCGTGCTTTTCCCTAATGTCAACACCCCTCGCACCATCTCCTACAAGGAAATCGTAGAAATTACCAACAATTTCTCTGAATCAAGGATGGTGGCGGAGCTCGACTTCGGAACGGGTTACCACGGCTTGCTCGACAACCGCTTCCACGTCCTCGTCAAACGCTTGGGGATGAAGACCTGCCCTGCCCTCCGCTTACGGTTCTCTGACGAGCTCTCCAATCTTGGCCACCTCCGCCACCGCCACCTCGTCCAACTACGCGGCTGGTGCACGGAACATGGTGAGATGCTCGTCGTCTACGACTATCCCTCTGGTGGCGTCCTCAGTCGCCGCCTTTTCTATAGGCACAACTCCCCTGCCGCCGCAGTCCTTTCCTGGCGGCAGCGTTACCGCATCATAAAGGCGCTGGCTTCGGCTGTGCTTTACCTCCACGAAGAGTGGGACGAGCAAGTCATCCACCGGAGCATTACCTCTTCTTCCGTGTTCCTTGACCCGGACCTCAGCCCTCGACTCGGCTGCTTCGCGCTTGCCGAGTTCCTCTCCCGCAATGAAAACGGCGGCCCCCATGTCACATCCACCGTCCGGAGCTCCTCGGCGCGGGGGATATTCGGGTACATGTCACCGGAATACATGGAAACCGGAAAGGCGACAGCGGCGGCGGACGTGTACAGCTTCGGGGTTGTTGTGCTGGAGATTGTGAGCGGCAGGCCCGCCGTGGATCTTCGGAGGCCTGACGCGCTGTTGGTTAGGAGGTCGTGGGGAATGGAGGCGAAGAGACGACCGGCGGAGGAGATGGCAGACGAGAGAATGGGGGGTAATTTCGACAGGAAGGAGGTGGAGAGAATGGTGAGGCTGGCGATGGCGTGCACGCTGTCGAAGGCGGATAGGAGACCGAACATGAGGCAAATAGTTAGCATTTTGGATGGGAACGATGAGCTGCTGAGAATGATGGGGCACAAGAGGGAGGTAAAAGAAGAGTGGGAGGCTAATAACGCCAATGCGCTTGCTCTTGTTAGGAGAATGAAAACTCTTGGCATTAATTGATCAGCTTTTAATCTCATTTTATATTTTTCATGGCTTTTTGTTTTTATTTGAATATAGTTCGTGAGCTGTTTGTTTAAGAGCTTCAAATATAATTTGTAAAGAGCTTTTGTAAATAGTTTAAGCTTATGATATTGTTTTTTTTTTCTTTTTATTAGCATATCTATATCTATATATATATACTAATATTAAAATGCCGTTTGATTTCTTCCATTAGCAAAATCCAGCAACAATGGCCAAATCCAACCCTTATATTTCACAACCCTTCGTCTCTCAATATTTTTCTTTTTTCATTTGCATTCATCCCTGCCTGGCATACCCACCCTCTCTCACTTGCTAACCATCTGCCTTACCCAAAGCTCTCTTGGGTGCAAACCCACCTAGTTTTCCTCCCCTCTTGCATTCGAGGCGGCTTCCCCGCCTTCGATTTCTCTTGTGGTGGAGAGGTATGTTCTTGTTCTCCATTTGATTTCCATCCTTCATTCTCAAATGTTCTTTGACTTCAAAGATTGATATTGGACTATCCACCCTAACCAGTGAAGGAATACAGTATAATATGGCCTTGGCTTCTTGAAACTTTTTTTACCATGTACAGCTTACGCAGTTGATCCTCCTTGTAAAATTTTGATATTAGTTTTGAGCATTTATGGAAAGAATCGCAATCTACTGGTGCTTCATTTTCAAATTTTCACTTTTAAGTGGGCTCATACTTGCAAATGAATCGCTTTAATGATGTTTTAGGATAAATGAATCCATTAAAAACAGGAATTTATATTTTCCTTAAGTTGAGTGCTTGGCAAACCTGCTCAAAAAGTTTCTTTTAAAAAAGCAGGTACGCATGAATGCTTGTTTTCATACAGAGAACCATTTATTATCTTCATGCACATATTTCTCAATCATAATTTTCCACTCTTTTTCGAACTCATGCACAACTTCTTGCTGAATTATTTCAAGAAGAATTCATAGACATGCCCTTGGGTCGATATGTTGTGTTGCTGCTTCTATTTTGCACTACAATAAAAATTTTAGATGGAGGCTCCGTTTGTGATATCTTTCTTATTCCTTTGGAGCATTTAAATACTCTCCAATTATTTTGATAATTTTTTTATAGGAGCAGTGAAACAATCCAAACAATTGAATAAAGTTTAGACTGGTAGAATTAATTTCATAAAATCGAAGTGCTTTTCAAGCAAATTGATAATATGCTTTGTTGCATCGTTTCACATTGTACTTATCTTTGTTAGTTCTCGGTTTTTTTAGAATTATGCATATGAACCATTTCTAATTATTGTTTCACTATCCCTACATGATGTACATATTCATGGCATTATCTATTTGTTATTAGCAAAAGTGAACCATTGAAACACAATTATTGGTGCAATAATCAACTGAAGCAATAATAATAGAGGGTTTTCCTACATTCTTGAACAGTTATCTAATATAGATACATAAGAATGTTAATAACCTGCAAATATACAGTTACTGATCAACAACTATATAAAGAAAGATTGAGTCTTGCACATAATAGAAGTTTATTATATTTACCAACTAAGCAAGATACCAAAATGACGGCTCTCAAAAGCTTAAGTGCATTATGGTTTCTTAAACTCTAAAGGCTTACAAACCTACATCAATTCTGGAAGTACAAATATTTGTCTTTTTAAACTGTACAAAAAATCTTATCCTTTTGTGGAATTTGTCCATGAAGATGATTATTTTGATGATTTAATTTTTCATATGAATTTGATGTTGTTATTGTTGTTGTTGTTTAATTTTATGATAATGATAAAGCATCCGTAATCAAACCTCTTGTTGATCATAAAACTGATGTAAATATCTATTCCTGAGCCCAAATCATCGATCGTGCTCATGTTTCTTATTGAGATTTCGAGGGTTTCTGTTATTATGTTTGTTGAAATGAAGAAAAAAGTTACTCAACATATTACATGTTATGGCTTTTATTGCTTGCTTCTCAAGATAAGTAGGTTGGTCTTCATGTTTCAAATGTTTGACACTTCTTCACTAAAAGAACATATTGAGTTTGTGTTATGAGTTAATTGAGTGCTCATAAAATTTATTAGTTCATACAGAAGCTTTTTTGTTTGATCACAGTTCTTTATATTATAATATTTTATATCTTTATATTATCTTCTTTGTTTGTCTGGCATTGATCTCACTATGTTTTTTTATAGCCCACTATTATTTTTTTCAAACCTATAAAGTTCGCAATTATATTTGGCTTTCACAATCTACTACCAACAGAAATGTGGATGTATAATTGCTAATCCTTGATCTATGGAGCAACTATGCTGCATATTAGTCTATATAAAAGTTATTAAAAGCATAATTTTTTATTGAAATATCCTTTTAAAATTTTTTCACAATCACTTATGAAATAGGAAATTTTTATGCTCTTTTTTTCTTGTAATTTAGATTGTTAGTATCTAAAAACATTTAGGAGTTTACTAGGGCTCACCTGAAAGATGCAATCATGTTTCTTGGGGTGATATGACTATAAAAGAAGATGTTGAAAAAAAGAGGAAGAAGAATACACATGACTTTATTGTGAAGGAGAAGGTGGACATGAATCTAAAGAAGACCAAGCTCAATAGAGAAGAGAAAGAGCAATGATTCCTTACAAGCATGAGAATGAAGAAGGATTATATTTGTCTCGAGAGGATAAGTAGAAGGTTTCTCCATATTTTGGAGGGATTATAATTATACAATAGGGTTTTTAATTCTATGGAACAAAAAACAATTGTGAAATTTGTCTATGATTTGCAAAACAAGGAAGGAATAATGAACTTGTAGGTATGTTGAAAATTATTCATTTTATGTTTTACATTCATTTTTAATAATAGACGTTGAGAAATTTTAACATATTACTTTTATAAAGCATACATATTCTGAACCAAATAAGTTGAACTGTGGCGAAGGATACTTGACATTACAATTCGGATGTTGTTATAACTATGCAGTTATAATCTTAACTTATTGATTTTTGTATTCATTTAAAAAATATAATACTGACTATGATGTTGATTATGGGAAAAAAATGGGCTCCCTCCAGGTATCCTCCATATTGTGATTGTTGGTCATATTACAAATCTCTTTAAAATTTTGATAAAATGGTTGATTAGTTTGCACGTGCTGCCTACTTATTGTGCACCTAATAGTTGCATTATTAATATTTATGAACCTGGTGATTGCATACCACATCATATCAATAGTCATGATTTTCTGATGCCATTTTCTTCTGTTTCAATTTTAAGTGAGCATACTATAATATTCAGACACAACCTTAAAATTATTGGGCTAGGAGATTTTATTGTATCAGCTTCAATACCCCTTCTAGTCGGGTAAGTTATTAGATGTTGTTTTCTTGTTCATTCATATTTTATTGTCAAATCATGTTTTCTTATTATATTTATTATTTTAATGTCCTACCATATTTTAATGTCTTTTTGGTAAGTTATATAGGACAATCTTCTATTGTTATAATATATTGTTATAATATTTTTTAAAATGTTTATACTTTTTGGTGTTATATATGTTGAAACTTGTGCTAATGCATCATTAAATATGTAATTTTAATTTGATAAGTACGAATTCATTGGATCAGCTTCAATTCCTCTTCTAGTTAAGCAAGTATAAGATATTGTTTTTGTCATATGATATTGTATGATTCTTTTTTTGGTAAATTACATAGTGTAATCTAATAAGATTATAAATAATGTTATATTTTTTTCTATTTTTATATTGTTTGTATTTCTTTGTGTTATGTTGAGACATGTACTAATGCATTGTTAACTATAAATTTAATTTAATAAGTACAAAATATTGAACATGTTATTAGTTTTCTTGATAAATTCATACTTTTTTATATATTATCATATTATCCCCATTCTATTCAATTTTATGTCATATATATTGTTAACTTCTATTATCAATCTTATTCACATCAATGCTGATCTTTAATGGTAATGGAGCTGATATTGCAAAGAATTGTATTCCTATAATCCCTTGAAAAGTATTTGATCATTCAATCTCATCTTCACTTATAGATCTATCTAGAAATGCACATATATTCCATTTTTGTTTTTAACTTTTGTAGGATATCTATTACTTTTAGAATAACAGATTATGTTAAGCGACTGTTCAACTTGAACCTTGATCCAAATTTACAAAATTTCAAGCTATATGATTTGAGTGTTGAATTTGAATCCAAGCATGAAAACACATAAAAAGATGCATGTATAGATCAAAAAAATCTTATTATTTTGATCTCTACAATGTCTCAATTTAGCATAGAGATAGTTTCAACAAAAATACTATGTAGTATATTTTATCTTCACTTTAAAACTAATATGTTTTGTGAATGTAGTTGATGGGTTGATGATTTTTATGAATATCAAGTTGTTTTTATTATGTAGTTTTATATTTAATTTATATATATTTCTTTTCTCATCTTAGCTTTGGTATATATATTATTTTCATACAACACATAAGAAAATATGTGGTTAGCATTGTTGCAACTCATGCTCCTGAGTTTATGATTTTGATGATAACATATATTATTAATTGGTTCTTTATTTATCAAAGTATTTTTAGTATATATTTGTTTTTGTCTATACTAATATTTCAGGTACATCTTGCACCATTCAATAAAGATTAAGAGCCCAAGGCTGGGTAGAATAAGGTTAAGTTTCTTTAAGAGTATGTATTGTTACTTTTATTTATTTATACATTTTTTGGGTCAAAGTCAAGTATTTGGTGGATGCTAAACTTGGTGACCATGTACACACACACAGGGGAGTGAGATAATGAGAAAATTAGAAGTGTACTTTTTTTGACCTAATCATACATCATATATCGTCAAAAAATATCTTGATAAGGAACAAATCTCGAAGCAAAAATTAAGTTGAAGGCTTCAAAAATTAAATAGGAGACCATCTGAACTCTGATTTTATCAAACTTATAGTAGAACTTAACGTCTTGGAAATACAAATCTAACGACACCAAATTCGATTCAATTCGAGCCCAAATGAGTTCAAATCAAAGACCCAAAGCACTTTCGAAAGGTTCAAACCATAATTTGGATTACCAAACAGTTTCTAAACGTGACATGCTTATA